TATAGCATGTTCAGAGGACAGTGAAACTCTAGAGCACATTGTAATCGTTAAGCTTTCGTCGAATTTAGATCTAAAAATCTTGTGATATTGCGGTTATAATGTCCCTCACAAACACTGGTCTGAAAATTCGTAGGAAATTTGTAGTGGAAATAGCGTTTCTGAACATCGGACGATAATATCTTCTTTGATCATGATACAATCGATAGTGTATATCAATCTAACCTAACCTATTTGAACTAAGCTCTAAGCAATCTCACCATTTAAATGAGGTCGGTTCCGACTTTGAATCCTCAGATGATAGTAACAGCGCCATCATATCAAATCCCATAAAGGATGAAGGATGTGAGTGATAAGTGATATTGATAAGCCCCGAAGGATATATTGGATTCTCTCAATATCTGAAGCAAATATCTTCCGAATAGTAAAAACAACACCAAGGAGAAAAAAGGTCACCGTCATCTAATATAGTGTCCAAGACTAGCCATACCTCACTCAAAGAAGTCTTATGCCTGCATTCTGCGATTGAGTACGATTTTGTGAATGCGAGCACTCAAAAGAAAATTCTAAAATTGCGGAAAAAGCTAGATAGAAAAAAAATAAAAGAGCCACCATCTTACGCCAAAGTAGCCAAGAGAAGATACCGCGATGATCTTCGTTATCCGATGGCCATAATGCCAATAGACCAGGGAAATAAGGTTAAAGACCTTTTCAACAACAAGACAGTCAACCAGTGCAACAATCTCAAGAGATCGTGAACTGCGAATTCAGCTTGGGTGTAACGAGATTGATATCTCATCAATGTACTTGAACACTGAAGATTCTGGTGGAATGTATAGCTCCTCCTTGGATCGTTGACAGATGGAACTGGTCAATAAGAGGCATGTTATGTTATAAAAAAGCAAAAGAAGGAGCTTTACAATGAAAAATGAAAAAAGAGCCGCCATTTTACGCCAGAGTAGCCAAGAAAAGATACCGCGACGATCTCTGCAATGCAGTTACGATGCCTTGCAAAACCCTAATAGAACAACCCAATAAGTCTTGAGACCTGGTCAACAATAGATAGTAGACCACACAATATATGGCCAAAAAATAGATTGATCTCGTGTTGCGTTGAGTTAAGCATGTGTGCGATAATCACGGCATCTCATCAATATATTTATTTGAACACTGAAGAATATAGTAGAAAGTATCCCTCCTTTCTATGACGCTAGGATTGCTCAGAAAGAAGAGGGATTTAAAAAAACGCTGAAGAATGAGCTAGACATTGAAAAATGAAAAGAGTCATCCGATTACCGCCGGAAATCCGAAGGCAAAATAAGGTAAAAGACCTGGTCAACAATAAGATAGAGAACCACGCAAATGTTTCTAAGGGCTAACAATTTATAGGGTCCGTGAGCTGGTTGACATTTCATTAATTTACTTGATCACTGAAGAACCTGGTGGAAACCAACCAACCTCCCTGGAGTGGCACTAAGCTGGAACTGGGCAAGAAGAGGGACATTTCAGTGCCCTCAAACTTCACTTTATACATAAAAGGATGGAGGAGTAAAATGCTGAACTTTTATTGAAAAATTTTCTTTAATTTTCGATTTATACAGCGAATTTTAATATAGTTTTCGTTGTTTTTTTTTTAAATTTAGATTTTCAACTACCGTTACAGTTTTTAATAACAACAAAGTATGTGTCAATAAAGGATAAATACAAAATAAAACACAGTTTTTCAAACTGGCAACGCTATTTATTATCCACCATATTGATGTATTAAAAATTGTTGATTTATTTGAGTAAATAGCAATACACAAATACATACTTTAGGCGATGTGTCAAAGAATATAAGCTCAAAAGGGAAAATGCAAAAATAATGTTAACCATAAAAAAAGGATAAGCGAGTAAGTATACGACATGTACTACAATCGGACAAACACATACACACATGCTGGTACATACAAAAGTTATAGAAATAAATATGTGGGAATTTCAAAAAGAGAGCAAGAATTCAAGTACTCAGCCTAAGTATACGTCTGTATGAATGTGTTAAAATTATACATACAAATTTATATATGTATGTACATAATGGTGGAACAATGCGAAGCATAGAAAACAGAAACGGAATTGTTTTTAACACATTAAATTCCACAATAATTAAAATTATTGAGAGGGCAAGTACTTAAGTTTAGCAAGAGAGGGAGAGCAAAAGATAAAGGAAATGAGAGATATTGTGATATTATTATTAAAATGGAGCACAGTGGTATAGGAAAAAAAAAAGAGGGAAATAATTCGGTAACTTCTAAACGGTTAATCCGATTTTAATGAAATTTGGTGTGCACAAAGAGGAGGTGTTGTCGAGTTTAGGTTTTGAATTTGGACCTTATAGGCCAACCAGGGGCCCGGCGGGGGGTCATCAAATTAGGACACCTCGGCTATGTTAAATTTTTAAAACGATCCTATTTCTTCATTTGAGTTCCGATTTAAAAAAAATTTCGTATATAGAATCTCCTCATCGAGCACTATAAAAAATGTTGTCATAGCAGTAAATTATCTCTTATAGTTTAGGAGATATTCGCATTTGAAAATTAAAATTTTAAAATTTTTACCGTCCTTACTTTAGTTTTTTTTGATAATAGCAGGTCCAAATATTCCCGATTTTCGCCATTTTTTTTTATTCGCTTAACAACAAGTTTATATATCAAGCAGTGAAAGAATTATGTAAAAATCATGACTGAGTCCAAAGTTATAGGCATTTTAATTTAAAAAATTAAAAAAAGGCGATTTTTTGTCATTTTTTTGGGAAAAAAGTATCTTTTTCTTTTTAAGTTATCTAAAAAGTTTCTAAGAAGATGTATATAGAATTTATACTTTTTGGAAAGCTGACTTTACATAAAGTACGATAAATGAAACAAAACCTAAAAATTTTTGATACCGAGGGGACCATGTCCATCCAAAAAAACCCTATTTTTTATGGAAAATTAAATTTTGAGCAAAAATTCTCAAATCGCATAGTCGATATCAAATTATAGTGACCTGTTTTATATGACCCAATATGTTCTTAATCATTTTGTAACGGGTTTCGATAACCCCGCCCCTGGTATGGATATAATAGGCAAAAAACTAAAAAATCCCATTTTTGGGATTTTTTAAAACTTTTTTGGGAATTCCGGGATTTCTAATAAGAAAATTCGAAATTTTGATTTAATTTTGGATTTTAAGTAAAAAAATCTACCTAACTGTAAAATTTCATCAAAAAATATTCATAAATAAAATTTTTATTGCAATTAGAAAAATTTGTATCTTCGCAAAAACTGAATAAAAAACATTTTTTAATTTTTTTTAAAAAAAGTATTCCGCGAATTTTTTAATTTTCAAAAATTATATACAGTTTTGAAAAATAGACAAAATTACCTTTCCATTGATATATAACATGCCTACCTAATGTTTTTTAAGTGACAAATTAATTAGGGAAAACTCAACATCTTTTAGAAAATTTGCCTAGCACTATTATTTTCATCCATAAGGTTAACTCTTAAATTTGTTACATATATGGATGAAAATAATAGTGCTAGGTAAATTTTCTAAAAGATGTTGAGTTTTCCCTAATTAATTTGTCACTTAAAAAACATTAGGTAGGCATGTTATATATCAATGGAAAGGTAATTTTGTCTATTTTTCAAAACTGTATATAATTTTTGAAAATTAAAAAATTCGCGGAATACTTTTTTTAAAAAAAATTAAAAAATGTTTTTTATTCAGTTTTTGCGAAGATACAAATTTTTCAAATTGCAATAAAAATTTTATTTATGAATATTTTTTGATGAAATTTTACAGTTAGGTAGATTTTTTTACTCAAAATCCAAAATTAAATAAAAATTTCGAATTTTCTTATTAGAAATCCCGGAATTCAAAAAAAAGTTTTAAAAAATCCCAAAAATGGGATTTTTTGGTTTTTTGCCTATTATATCCATACCAGGGGCGGGGTTATCGAAACCCGTTACAAAATGATTAAGAACTTATTGGGTCATATAAAACAGGTCACTATAATTTGATATCGACTATGCGATTTGAGAATTTTTGCTCAAAATTTAATTTTCCATAAAAAATAGGGTTTTTTGGATGGACCTGGTCCCCTCGGTATCAAAAATTTTTAGGTTTTGTTTCATTTATCGTATTTTATGTAAAGTCAGCTTTCCAAAAAGTATAAATTCTATATACATCTTCTTAGAAACTTTTTAGATAACTTAAAAAGAAAAAGATACTTTTTTCCCAAAAAAATGACAAAAAATCGCCTTTTTTTAATTTTTTAAATTTAAATGCCTATAACTTTGGACTCAGTCATGATTTTTACATAATTCTTTCACTGCTTGGTATATAAACTTGTTGTTAAGCAAATAAAAAAAATGGCGAAAATCGGAAATATTTGGACCTGCTATTATCAAAAAAACTAAAGTAAGGACGGTAAAAATTTTAAAATTTTAATATTCAAATGCGAATATCTCCTAAACTATAAGAGATAATTTACTGCTACGACGACATTTTTTATAGTGCTCGATGAGGAGATTCTATATACGAAATTTTTTTTAAATCGGAACTCAAATGAAGAAATAGGATCGTTTTAAAAATTTAACATAGCCGAGGTGTCCTAATTTGAGGACCCCCCGCCGGGCCCCTGGTTGGCCTATAAGGTCCAAATTCAAAACCTAAACTCGACAACACCTCCTCTTTGTGCATACCAAATTTCATTAAAATCGGATTAACCGTTTAGAAGTTACCGAATTATTTCCCTCTTTTTTTTTCCTATACCACTGTGTGGAGTAAAAAGTTTAAAACACTCACACACACGATGTGTACTCGTAGGAAACATCAAAGAAAAATTTCCCAATTTTTCATATAAAACAACAACAAGAACAACGAATAGAAAGAACTTTTTTGGGGGTACATTTTCTGAATACACAGGAAAATTTTTGTGTCTTATTTAACAGCGAGGAGAACTTTTTTGCCAGATTCTGAGCGCATACAAGTCACAATTAGTCGAACCACCACGGAAAGCAGTGCTCTGCATACGTTTGACAGGGCACAAAACTTTTAAAAAATTATATATATACTTAAATATATATATAAAAAAATTATATAGAAAAAAAAAAAGAAGTAACAACTAAATAAAATAAGTTGTAGTTTAAAACGAAACATATATAATTAATTAAATAATTTATTTATAATTTAAAAGTAAATATACAACAAGTAATTATACTAAAAAAATAGAGTGAAAATTTTATGTTAAATCAAGAAAAAGAAAATTTTCAAATATGAAAACGAGAAAAAAGTAATATAAATTTTTTTCTATATAATATCTGTGTACGTGTGTGTATATGTGAATGTATGTGTATAGAAATAAGTCAAAGGAAAGTTTTTTTTTTCGTGTGCATACAAAATTTTCTATATCTTTTTCTATATAAAATTGAAAAAAAGAAAAAGAAAAGTTATAGTGAAATTGAAAAAAAAAATTCAATCTAAAGAATTGTTTTTATTAAAGAAATATAAAAGTTTAACAAAATATTAAAAAAATAAGCTAAACATAAAAAGAAAATGTTCAAAAAATTTCCATTCTTCATTATGCTGTGAAAAAAAGTGATAAAACTTTGAAAAAAAGTCTAAAGGAATAGAAAAATTATATATACTAAAATCCAGTTTTAGCCTATAAAATATTGTGAAAAAAATTCTGTCAAAATTATAACATTTTGCTATACAGCAATAGTGTTTTAAAAATTATTATTATTTTTTAAATAACTTTATTAATGAAATTGAAAAATAAAAATTATACATATATTTTTTTGTCAATATTTGAATAGAAAAAAATGTATTGAAAAAATTTCATATCAGCAGTGGCAAAAAAAATGAAAAAAATTCTCTATCTATTGCGATTTATTTGAGCAGAGATATACTGTCAAAAGGTTTTTACCACTCTCTCTCTCTCTCTTTCTCTTTACATGGTTGTATTTTTCATTAGTTTAGGGGAGCATTTAAGGAAATTTATTTTCCCTTACATTTTTGGGGATTTTCTTTGTGACGAGTCAAAGTCGACCAGCAAGAGAGGACCATGATTAAATAGAGACCACTAACGACAGCAAGAATATGAGAGAAAGTAAACATTTTGACAGCTATATATTTTTTGACATTTATTTTAGAAATTTGGCTTTTCAATTCAAAAGGAATATTAAATACACATTTTAAGATTTTTAAATAATAAAGAACATTTCATTACAAAATTAATAAAAATAACTAATAATGTTAACAGAGTTCTTTTTATAACTTTAGTTGTTTTGTTGTATATAAGACCAAAATAATGCAATTAAGAAAATACTTTTATAATGAATTATGGACATATTAATAATTTTTTTGATTTTTTACTTCATAATAATGCTCAATATTGTCGCAAGACTCGAAATAAATTCTTTTTCCAGACAGTGTTCCGACTAAATATTTAACTAAAAGATTTTAATACTCCGTTCAACAAAAATTGAAGGAGGAGTCTTACACTCACTTTAAAGTATTGAAAGTCGCTACAGAATCACTTTTAGAAACAATTTGTCTATGTCTGTCCAACTATTGAGTGATCTCTGCTTGAAACCTATTGAATTTGGATGAAGAAATCGTTTCTTTATTTCATCTAGTACTGGGTATAATTCTCAAAATTTATTATTTGCTCAAAATTTATTCAGAGTTGTAATGTAAAACCATTGTTTCAAATTTGCAAAACGTCATTCCCAAAGTTAAGAGTTATAATCTAAAATCATGATTGATAGATTTATGGATTATCGATAGCAAATGAACCTAAGTTGAGTTGTCAGATGTTAAAATTAAATTACAGTTCGCAACCGACAGTTGTTGTTGCCAAAATCGGATACAGGCGAGGATGCAGTACCACAAATTGAAATGTTGTTGTTGAAACAGTTTGACTGTGGACGATGGTTCTTTCCTGGGGAAAAACTTTTGGTTGATACAGTTGTCGCTGGGTTGACAATCTTTGGCCGAGTATGACTCAGTTCATTCCGGAGCGAAGATCCAATTGTAGGACAATTTAAAGTGTCATTTTCGTCGCTGATTGATAAAATTGATCAATTTGAGTGGATGCTTTTATATGTAAATACACATTCTGAATTTATTTCATAAATTTTTTCACAAATTGAACTTTATTTAAATTTGTGTCTATATTTTTTACTTTGTAGCTGCTGATCTGTCAAAATAACTACAGATATACACAATTCCGAAATTTTTTGCCAACTAACGAAAGTTCATAATAGCAATTTTTATGTCAGTTGTGTTGGTTGCTGGCAACTCAACAGAAGGCTGGCTGTTATTTGTTTGTTAGGAACTCACTTCTAATAAGCATATAATTGAATAAAATTTTTGATAACTTCCATTATACCTAGAGCTATTGAATAGAATGAAAGCAAAAATTTTTCAAAACATCAACAATTTCATCTCCGGACCGTATCATATTTGTCTTTCTTTCTCTTACGTTGTATGAAACTTATTATTAACAATATCTTTCATAGTTTTTTATGGTTCTCAACACTTCTATTCAGAAAAATAGCGAAAAGTTGTTAGAAATCATGTTATGTTTTATCCGAAGGTAAAACACAAAAGAACTCAGTGCTCCCTTAATCTCTTATGTGTATACCGTATATCATTATTTTTAAATTTGACCATGTTACCTAAAGGTTTTCAGAATGGTGGTGATTTTTTCAAACTTCCTTGAAGATTAGATAAGAGTTTAAGATAAGATTATAATAAGGGACAATAAGATCCAATTTTGGGTTCTGCAGTTTAGTTCATATACGAAAATCCCAATCCTATTCGATGAAAAGTTTAAAATTTATTTTGGGTTTAATAAGGAACAAAGAAGTTCTGCTTTTAAGTTACAATCCTTCAATCCACCGAAAAAAACGTTATTAGTATTCTGAAATGGGTATGGCGAACTCATATATAATGCTATTGGGTTAAAGAGTCGATCTTCTTAAGCAATAATAACTTTTGAAATATTTAACTTTGTTCCAGAAAAAGGCTCCCCAGTGATAATAAAACTCAAAATCATATTTCTCCCTTAAAATCTATAGGAAAAGTCAAATTGCTGATAAATGTCCCTTTTGGCCAGATTTGGAACAGTTTTAATTCATTCGACATGAGATATTCAATCCACATCTGAAATATCAATATGTATAGACGGATGATTTTACATAAAGGGGTTTCTAATTAAAAGTCTTATGGGTTATTTATGAGAATGATTTTTATTTTAAATGAATGTACAACCGATATCATTATTTATGGAATCCAATTGCCCATGACTGGAGCCTACAAGTCTGCCTAAATACCAGACATTTTGCTTTCAATGTTGGCCTTCAACTCTTCTAAAGTTGTTGGTTTTGTGACTATTAACGTGACCTTAACGGGTCTTAGTATTAACGGGTTAATCGCACATTGAAATGTGAAGTTTTATAAAAACTTAATAATTTGAAGATTATATACATATATCTTAGAAGCTCATATCTGTTACGTTTCATTCATCGCGCTTAAGGCGAAAGAAATGAAAGACACGAGGGGGGAAATCCCGTTATATAATAATAATTCCTCCCTAATTTGGCTGACCTCGTTATTTCCATTGTTCCACAGAGAACCCCCCGGCATTTCTCTCAAATTTTATTAGATACGTTAGTGACACATCCTTGAGACGGACCAGATCATGAAAGAAGCTTCTAGGAAGATATCTCCGCCTTTAAGGTGTTATACAGATTCTCCTACGTATAAACAACTTCTGCAATAATTGGTACAGTGTCAAAGGATTAAAATTGATGTCATAGATTTATGAATTTTCTTGTTATCAAGTCTGTTTGGTTTATTAGTTCCCATTGAGTATTAGAACTTCAACTATTCGGTGTAATAACAAGAGTGGTGACCCACAATAGGGACCCTGATATATGGGTAATTTTCATATTATTTGAGTATAAATATGTGGATAGATTTCCAAGCCACAGGTGGAATTCAGGGTTTTGATTAAAATTAACTCAATTTATTTGACTTTTTAGAGAACTTATTTGTTGAACTGTTTAAAACCCAATTCAGTATGTCTAAGGAACAAACAGTCAGACCACTTTTCACGCACCATTAAGAAGCTAAACATGATTTAATTTTCACATTCATAAAATATACATTCTGTGACATGGCCTATTGTTATGTTTTTCCCTAGTAAAAAGAAGAAAAGAGAAATAACTTTAGAACTCACTGTAAAAAAAAAGAGATATTGATTTTTATATTTGAAATTTTACAAAGAAAATATTTATAGACAAGTTGGAAAAGGGCTTCAATATTTTTTAATGAAATACATATGTGTTTAAAACTCGAATTAAATTAAATTACATCATTATTTAATTATTTTTAAAATATTTTACAATTTAAACTAAAATAAAAATTGAACTTTAAAAAATATTCTTCAAAAGTTCTATAGTTTTTCAAATTTATTAGAAAATATTTTTTGAAATAAATTAATTTTTTTCAATATTAATTAATTAATTTTCTTTTTTTTTCTTCAATTTGACACAAAAAGGATTTTTTTACAGCAAAAGAAGAAAATTACGAATAGAAACAAAAAAAAGGAGAAAAAAATTAACACTTGTATGAGTTTAGGGAATAGATAGATGGATGTATAGATAGACATTGTAGAACTGTAGAGTTAAATGAAGTCAACTCATAATGTCGTTTCTCAAGGCGTCTGCGCAATTTTATAGAGAAACAAAATTATCAAAGAATATTTTTTTCTAATAAAATAAATATATAGAAAATATTTCAAGTGAAAAAAGTGTTAAAATTTAACAATATATAAGTAAAAATGTTTTAATAAATTAAAAAAAAGTTAAATTAATTAATCAAGGCATAAGTGTGGTGTTTAAATAAAATAGTTATAAAATAATTTAATAGTTTTTGTGAAAAAAACGTCTGAATTTTTACACTCTGTTGCTGTTTTCTATAAATATGAGTAATGGAGTATATAAAATACATCTAGTACTAGTTTTACGCTTGAAGTGTTCATTTAGAATGTTTATATAATTGTTCGCCCAAATATTAATAATGTTTAGTTAAGTTTTAAAATTCTAGTTTGAATTTTCTAACTTGAATTTTAAAAACATTATTTGAAGACTTTATTCAAATGTTTGTATTGTATGTTCACATCTAAGTTTTACGTATAAATATATTATTTTAGGCTTGAAGTGTTTTTTAGTGAAGTTTTAAAGGTTATAATTTTCCAGTTATAATTTTCCAACTTAAATTTTAAAAATTTTATTTGGAGACGTTATTCAAAATTAAGTAGCACGTGAACGCAGTATTGTACGTTCCCAACTACAATTTAAACAATAAACGCATGAGGTTCGCTTGATATTTTCACAAAAAAAAAATGTTTTTCAAAAAGTTATTTATAATGTGTACCGCGATATTAAATTTTATAAAAAATTTTTCAATTAGCTGAAATATCCGGGAGGTTATTGTGAAACACTTTTCGATCTATTGTTGAATAGTTAGACAATGGATCTATAAACTGAATTAGTGGCACTTTATAGTGATGATACTCCATATACAGGGGTTTTCATTAGGAAAGAAGCATTTGTATATCAATTAAAACATATGTAAGTTAGTAAAGAGTACATTGTCGTGATTCCGAAATACTTCTAAAGAGTTTTCAAGGAACCAATTTCAGATTAGCATATTGTCTTCTAAAATTGATCCCTATCTCTACCAGGCAATGAGGGTGACAAATTCGAATAATAATCATTAATTAAACAACTATAGTTCCACAACCGTTCCACTGAACCACTGTCTACGCCATAACGCTTCTACAAAATCAGTTCCAATTTGGATATCGAAATTAAGCCAAATACTAATGACCAATCCAACATAGTCTTTTTTGACTACTTTTGATGGTCAGAAATTTGTTAAGCAGTTGTCTATTTGTAACAAATACTTCTCGAAAATGTGTTGAAACTGATCAGAAAATTTGCCCATAAAACTCAAGTTTTTTTCAGACAATGTTTTCTTTAATAATTTGAATGGGATTGAGATATTTCCGTATATCGGTTTGGTTTAAGTATTTAAAAATTCCGGTAAATAAAATATGTTTTGGTATTTTATGGTGTAAACTATAGACTAGTTTATTGACAAGTTTGCGGTCTATTGACTACTCTACTGTTTAGTCCATTGATTTGAGTAGTTAATAACTAGTCTATTGACAGGTCTATGTACTAGTCTTACGACTTACTCGAATAGTCTATTATCTATATCTATATTGACTAATCTATGTTATTGACATGTTTATGGACAGGAGCATTGTCTAGTTTATTGATTGGTTTAGGAATTAGTGTGTGGACCAGATTACTAAACTAGTCTATGGTCTAGTTTTTTAACAAGTTTGTGGTCTATTGACAAGTCTGTTGTTTAGTCCCCATCGATTTTAGTAGTTAAGAACTAGTCTATTGACAGGTCTATGGAATAGCATATGTAATAGTCTCATGACTTACTGAATAGACTAGGGAATAGTTATTCACATGTTTATAGACAGGAGCATTATTTAGTTTATTAATTGGTTTATTGACGAGTGTGTGGACAAGATTACTGTCTTCTTTACTAAACTAGTTTATGGACTAGTTTTTTTTGACAAGTTTGCGGTCTATTGAATAGTCTATTGTTTAATCCATCGATTTTAGTAGTTAAGAACTGGTCTATTGACAAGTCTATGGACTAGCCTTTGTACAAGTCTTACAACCTACTGACTAGTCTATCGAATAGTTTATTGATTATTCTATTGACTAATCTATGTACTAGTCGTCCATTGATTAGTCTATAGACAAATTTTGGGAATAGTTATTGACTTGTTTATGGACAGGACCACTGTCTAGTTTATTGATGGTTTATGGACTAGTGTGTGGACCAGTTTACTGACTATTTTACTAATGTAGCCTATGGACTAATTTTTTCACAATTTTGCGGTCTATTGACTAGTCTATTGCTTAATCCATCGATTTTAGTAGTTAAGAACTAGTCTATTGACAAATCTATGGACTAGCCTATGTATTAGTCTTACGACTTACTGACTAGTCCATCGAATAGTTTGTTGATTATTCTATTGACTAATCTATGTATCTAATCTATTAACTAGTTTCAAGACAAATTTTTGGACTAGTTATCGACATGTTTATGGACAGGATCATTGTCTAATTTATTGATGGTTTATGGACTAGTGTGTGGAACAGTTTTCTGATATTTTACTAATCTAGTCTATGGACTAGTTTTTTAACAAGTTTGCGGTCTATGGAATAGTCTATTGTTTAATCCATCGATTTTAGTAGTTAAGAACTAGTCTATTGACAAGTCTATGGACTAGCCTATGTACTAGACTTACGACTTACTGACTAGTCTATCGAATAGTTTATTGATTATTCTATTGACTAATCTATGTACTAATCCATTGATTAGTTTATATACAAATTTTGGGAATAGTTATTGACTTGTTTATGGACAGGATCATTGTCTAATTTATTGATGGTTTATGGACTAGTGTGTGGAACAGTTTTCTGACTATTTTACTAATCTAGTCTATGGACTAGTTTTTTAACAAGTTTGCTGTCTATTGACTAGTCTATTGTTTAATCCATCGATTTTAGTAGTTAAGAACTAGTCTATTGACAAGTCTATGGACTAGCCTATGTACTAGTCTTACGACTTACTGACTAGTCCATCGAATAGTTTGTTGATTATTCTATTGATCTAATCTATTAACTAGTTTCAAGACAAATTTTTGGACTAGTTATTGACATGTTTATGGACAGGATCATTGTCTAGTTTATTAATGGTTTATGGACTAGTGCGTGGTCCAGATTACTGACTAGTTTATTAAACTAGTTTATGGACTAATCTGTAGAATAGTCTATTGAAAAATTAACGGACTGGTCTATTGGCCATTTAATGGAATAGTCTATTGACTTGTTAATGAACTAAGTAGTCTATTAGCTAGTCTATTGACTCGCCTAGGGACTAGTTTTGGACTAGGCTATTAACAAGTATATGGTCTAGTATACATACATGTTTACTAGCGTATTAACTAGTCTATTGTCTTGTCTATGAACTATGCTATAAACTTGACTATCACTAGTTTGTAAATTTGAATAGTTAATAGACTAGTCTAGTTTATGGACTAGACTATTGGCTAACCTATTGACATGAATGGTTGAATGTAAATGTTTGTTGACTAGGCTATGAGTATTTTATGGTGTAGTCAATGAAGTAGTCTACTGGCTAGTCTATGAGTAGTTTACGGTTTAGTTTATGAACTAGTCTACTAATTAGTCTATTGACTAGACTATAAACTAGTTTACGGACTAATTCAACGATTAGTTAAGGACTAGTCCATCGTCTATTGACTAATTTAAGGACCAGTATAGGGTCCAGTCTATTGCCTAGTAAACGGACTAAACTGTATAATTGTCTACTAATTAGTCCACGGGTTACTTGGCAAAACTTTGTAATAAAAACCGTTAGACTAGTCTCTAGTGTATAATATTTGAATGTTACACATATACAGAGTAAAAAATAACTTGGCTTTTCATTTTTTTTTTCAAATACATTTATGACGAGAAAAGTATGTAGGAATTTTCTTTTATACAGCTTTCCATTAAAAAAGGGATATTTTCCTATTTGGTGGTACTTTCTAAATAAATAACTTGTTATAATTTTCTCTCATTATTATTATTTTTGTTGTTGTTGTTTACTCTCATTCATATACATAAGTACGTAGTAGATAAAGTTTTAATGAGAAAATATACATATTTTCGGAATAATTTTTCCTTTTTTTAGAAAAAAGAAAAAACACTCTCACTTTTCTTTTTTGTTTCTTTTTTTGTGTGTGAGTCTTGTACTTTTTTTCAAGTACTTATTTGTTTAGAGTTTAGTACTTTACACTTTTAATTGTTTAATGTTTTTCTTTTTAAAGCAAGAACAACAATATTTGTTCTTTTATTATAGCGCTATAATTTCCCATAATTTAATGAAAAAAACACCTCGTATTTATTTTGAGTTTTGGAAAAAAGATGAATAACTTATGGATTTTTATGTGTGTGTGTTTTTTTAAAATATTAATTTTTTTCCTGCACATGTTTGTTTTAAACAAAGTGTGTATAAACTTTTTTTCAATAAGTTTTTCTCTTTTGTTTGGGGGTGCGGCGTATTTAATAGATTTATTTGTTATTTTGAGAAAGAAGAAAATAAAGAAGAAAAATATATAAAAAGATAAAATGTTTTTTCTTAAAAAATATGTGGAGTATTTGCTTTTTATAAGAAGTTGTAGAAGAAGTAGTAGGTTTGATAAATTGTTATAGAATACAAATATGAATAAAAATAATTTTCTAAAGCTTAAGTACTCGACAACATTTTATTAAAAAGGGATTTACTTTTATAGAAAATTTCTTAAAAAGATAAATACAGAGAGGATTAATCAAATTATAATTTACAAAAAATTTCTAAAGAATTTTAATCATAATTTTTTTGCCACTTCATTTTGAAATATAATATTTAATAAACTCTTTGCTTTTTAACACAGAATTAACTTAAAACACAAAATAAAATTCATATAAATAAATTAAACCTCCAAAAGAAAAGATAAAATTCGAAATTAAAAAGAACGCATTGAAAACAAGAAAAGGTTAAAAAAATTAAATCTCCAATGAAATGAAATTCTTCCAGAGCTTCAATGTCTGGATAAAGTTTAAGTTAAAAATATAAAAATGAAAAATGCCGTCAGTGATGACATGTTCGTTAATTTATCAATTATCTGTAACACCGGAACTACGACGACATTTAAGGCCATTTAATATTAAGAAAATTAAAGAAGTTGAAACGCAACAAGAAGAGAGAAAAGAAAATTATATAAATATTAATAATATTTATGAGCTTAAACAACAACAGAAACAACAAAATTCACAAAAAGTTTGTCTTCAAAAAATCTTGAAAAAACCACAAAAGCAACAACAACTAAAACCACATAAACGTCGTCGTCGTTGGGTTTTATCCTGTAATTTAATTACTATTTTAAAGCAAATTAAATTAACTAATCCCACCTTTGATATACAACAACAACAGAAACAACAACAGCAACTACAACAACAACAAGTACAACATCAACAAAAACAATTACCACAGCAGCAACAACTTAAACAACATTTGTTAAAAATTTAGTAAATTTGTTCCTTGTTACCAAAAACAAACTGCAACAGCAACCAATTAAAGAAAGAACGGCGAAAGAAATAAAATCATTTCCTGTTAACACACTCTCACTCACTACTCTCTGTATTGTCAATACCAAGCAACTGTTTACGAAAAATTCAATATTAAAAAGGATTTTATCTGCGAAAAACTAAAAACGGCCGATATTATTAGAAAACATCTTAAAAAACCACAAGATCTACAACTTAAACTACAACAACAACACCACCACCACCAGCAGCAACAACAACAGGAAAAACTGCAACAGCAACCTACTCTTTCCATTTGTCATATTGGATCGTTGTCTCAAAATTCTAAACAAATATTTTTATATTTGTTAATAACAATTGTTGTCTCACTACTACTCTCAACAGTACAATTTCAGCAGCAACAAAAACGTCAACTTCACCAACAGCAGTTGTCGTTTTATCAACAACAACAACAGCAGCAGCAGCAACAACAACAACATAATAGTCATTTTAAACGTTTTTATTTTGACAACAACGATCCAATATACGATTTTTTGATGGACCTGCTGGTACACAAAATGGCGGATGGTGGTCACACATTCGTGAAGAAGAATTTCCATAAGCCTACGTATTGTCATCATTGCTCCGATATATTGTGGTTCGGTTTAATTGGACAGGGTTATATATGTGAAGGTGAGTGTCGATTTTTATTTATAAAAACCAATTTGATTTTTAAGTTTAAAAAGTAAATATGTATGAAGAATAAATAAGTATGTATAAAACTATTGGTTTCCATGGGGTCTATGAATTTTTGGGAATTTTTGAGAGTCCGAAATAAGTGTTATTCCTGTAAAATTTAAATTTCTTTAGAAAAAAAAAACTTACTATATAACTGATAAATGAAGGTTAATCCTTAACTATATTTGGTAAATACAGTTCTCGCCACAACTACGACTTGTCCTTCCGAATTAATTCTATTGATTTGAAAGCAATAACATGATCTTGCTCTTCATCGTTGAAAGAACACCTTGAATTTTCTTTAAATAAATAATTTAAGGAAAAAATTCTATAAAAGTACATTTCTTTAGGTCCATAAACTTGTCCTTGGGAAGTAGAAAATTCTCTCAATATTCTCCAGTACAAAAAGTGTCATTCGAGGTCATACGAGTTCAGTCTGCACTGATTGTTAGAGAGAAAAGGGAAGGATCTATCACTAGTGAACTCAATTGCCTAATGCAAGCACGATTATTCGACCCAGATTTAGTTCAGAGCTATCAAAGCTATATGATGTGCTCCTAAAATTTTGCAGCGTAAAAGTATATCCATTTTTAAATTCATGCTAAAAGTTCTATAAAACTTTTAAAACAAATTCTTATTAGGACCTAAGGGGTTCAAAACATGAACAGATTTGTGAAATGTGTAACAATATTTTATAGTAGATCTTATGAACGTTGTTTTTTCCAGTAGAATTCTGAACGAATAAATTATGTGTTTAGGATTGGCGATTTGACTCCATATATTTTCCTTGGACCTGGAAGAAATAATTTTGAGTTTCCAGTCCCCCCGGGGGCATGTAACTTAATGAATCTTAATCGGGGAAAAGAGGTACTACCCATACCTCTAGTCCGACGGCACTATAAACAAGTGGAGTCAAATGTATCCTCGGCCTTTCTTTGAAATGGTTTGACCTGGGGTCGAACCAGGGTGCTTAATAATCTGGTACCACGGGAACCCGTAACCCACAGGGCAGAGTTTCGGACTTTGACATGTCCCGGTTATTGGAGAGGTCCCTTCGGGGTGCAAGTGGTGAATGTGTTTTCTACCCGCGGGAAGAGAATTTTTGTTAAAAGTCTGATACAGGGTAAAATCTATAATCTGGTTTAAGTTCGCTTTTGTTGTCGAGAGAACAGATACCACACAGAGACTATGGGACTAAGCGTTGGAAATGAGTTGGTGTCAAGTGTATATGATACGGGATGGATGTAACGGTTGAATGGTAATGGATGTAAGGTATCTTTTACATGTGATACCATTGAATTTCCTTCCTTGATCTGTTATGTTCAGTGTTTACTGTGTTCATACCAGATGTATTCTCTGTGAGTAAGTCCTCGGCTTATTTGATGGATTTGTATTTCGGCCTACTGATTATGTCTCTAGGTGCTATTGTCGAATCAACAGAGGACATTCAATCAGTGTACTTGTAAACGGAAGTGATGTTTTTTCATAGCTCGAGTACTTCAACAAAGTGCTTGTACATGGACCTGTAGAACCATGTACAAAAATTGCCACTGGCGTGTAAGATGGAAAAATAGGACAATGGGATGAGTCGTCTAATAAGCCTATCTTGTGTTTGTAAAAGTACCAACGTAAAATAAGGCCAACAGGACAGGTGCTTATGTAAAGCACGTCAACTTCTTTCCATAGAACTGGTAACCGTTATATTTAGTTTAAAAAAATATCGATAACCTTTCATAATGAACCTGATCTTCAGCAAGCTTGATATTCGTTTAACTATTAAGACATTCTAGGCCTCGACTACATACAAGTTGTTTGAGACTTTATTAATATCATTCCCACAAGTTCATGGTATGGTAACTGCTATTAGGAAGCCGGTTGACACAGAATCATTTTCTAAAATACATTCAGTAGTCGTAACGGCCCCATTATTGATTGGATTATATAAAAAAAAAGTTTAAAGCTTGCCTTATTCGAGTCGTTATAACAGCGTGAATTGTTAAGATATCTGTTCTATATTTTGAGATCGTGCTCTGTTATAACGGTTAAAAGCTGTGTTTTTTTTATCAGACATCTCCTAAAGATATGAAAAAACAAACTCTGAGTTTATATTCGGATTCAGTAAAGCTCAAGTCTTTAGAAAAGTATTCTCTGATCTTGGGTTTAAAATTTATTGTCCTGTGTTGTTGAAACAAAGAAAAAATCGCCAACTCACTTAATTTATCTTTTCTGGAAAGTGACATATTTAGCCGAGTTAGATTTTCTTCGATTCCTTAAATATATTGACCTATTTATAGTTATAATATATAATAATATAGTTTTTTGCAATTGGATGATTTAAAATCTCACAAGTTGATACATATTTTCCTGCAAGTACCTGTATTTAGATTTGTAATATTTATTTTTAATTTGTTTGCTTATTTTATTTATTTTTAAATTTTACACGAATAAATTATTATTTATGGCGAAATTTAAAAATAAAATTCTAAAAAAACAGCCGCTTAAATCAACCTGAAAATATTGCGGGAAGCTGCATTTTTCCATTTAATTTCATTGCAGTGTTACAGATGTATAAATAATTATGTATTTATAGCATAAATACTAGTTTTTATAATTTGTATTTTATGATAAATATACAAATGTATGTAGGTAAATACATCTCACCGATAATTTCTCTCTATATTTTTACACGGATGATAATTTTTTTGGAATTTAAATATGTATGTGCTTTTTTGTTATAAAATAATACAATAAATTTTACACATGAAAAAGGATTGGAAATTAAGTCTATTTCTCAGAACTTATATTTTTTTTAGCAATTAAGAAATTCATAGAAAACTTATTTTTTTAATATAACAAAAATGGTTTTGTGTTGAATTTTTGCGAAGACAAAAGTTTTAAATTTATATAAATTTTATACATATTTATAAAAAAAAATTTAATGAAATTTTACGGATATATAGACTTTTCCATTCACAATGCAAAACTAAAGATACATTTTGAAATTTGTTATCACAATTCAATTCAGTTCTGAAAAAAGTTTTGAATAAATACCAAAATTTAATTTTTTACTTTTTTAGCTATTACATCCATACCAGGGGCGTGATTATCGAAATCCTTTATAGAATAATTAAGAATATATTGGGCCATCTAAAATGGTTTACTATAATTTAATATCGACTTTCCGATTTAGGAAATTTTGCCTTAAACTTGAATGTTACATAAATTATAGAGGTGTTTTGAATGCACCTGTTCCCCTCGGTATCAAATTTTTTGAATTTAAATTAATTTATGTAAAGTTAGCTTTTCAAAGAGTATAAATTATTTATATTTTTTTGAAAAAAGTTCTTTAAAAAAATCGCCGTTTTTGATTTAAATTAAAGTGCATATAACTTTGGACTCAGTCATGATTTTTTAACAATTCTTTCTCTGTTTAATATATACATTTTTTGTAAAGCGAATAATGAAGAAATAGTATATAAATAGTATATATACGATGAGGTGCTCGATAAGGAGATTCTAAATATGTATTTTTTGTTATCGAAACACAAACGAAGAAATACGGTGCCCTACTTTACGTACGACTGATTGCGTCCCTGGTGGGCCCATACGGTCTAAATTCAAAATCTAAACTTTATGCATGTGAAATTTTTTTAAAATTGGACAAACCGTTTATTTCTATAAACGAATACCCATTTTTATAGTCATGTTAGAAGTTCAATAAGATTTTGGATACAAATTCTCATTAGGACCTGCACACAGAGAGAAAAATAAATATACACGTCTGGTACCAAATTGACACCAAACAGTTTATAATTTTTCAATACCATCCGTTGTCAAAGTGTATACATACGTACGGCAACACTATGTAATGTTGACAACATTGCAACAATTCTTTGTCGAAATCTAAATTTTATACACATCCGTTGTCTTAATGTTAACAAACGTGGTAAGCTCACTATTGGCAACGGATTGTTTGTCAAATTTAGATTTCGACAATGCAACGTTGTCAACATTACATTGTGTTGTCATACGTATGTATATACTTTGACAACGGATGTTATTGAAAAAATATAAACTCTTTGGTGTCAGTTTTGTACCAGGCATGTATATTTCCTTTTCCCTCTGTGCATGATTGGAAACATGTTATAATGTAATATCTGCAGCAGAAGCGGGTCAAAACACATGATCGTTGTAACTTTGTAGCAGATTTGAGAGATGTGTCTTGGTTTATAGCGCTTTTTGGCAGACCCTATTAGACCGTTCTATACAGACCGACAGTTGTGTTTCAGTGTATAGAGCGAGTACAGGAATGCTAAAGGATAAAAATAAAGTTAGATCTTCAAACACTCAAAATTCTGCATTACGTTTCCAGGAGCTTTTAAAGTATAAAATTATATGGGGGTAATTTTACAGTGACTGATGATTTTTTTGATTTCGATAAAAATAAAATTAAAACTTCAACATTCAAAATTGTGCTTTACGATTCGAAGTACTTATCGCAAACGATTAGAAGTGATTAGAAAAAGTTGTCATTATAAATATCATGAAAAAAAAGTATACAGCTTCTATATCTTCATTGACAAGATGACTAATGAATTATAAAGTATTTATATAACATATTATTAGTAAGACCTTATTATACTACTTCTATGTAATCCGGACGATATGTAGTAGTTGTCATTGAAAAGTATTTTGTTAGGTAAGCAATTACAATTGATAGCTATTACCTTGTTTTTGCTGTGTAACTATCTTCTACTAAAAGAAAAGCACTTCGGATTGACTGACGGTTTGACTTCATATATCGTTTTTCTTGGTTCATGTTAATACTTAGTATAGTTTTTGCAATACCTACAAGCTGGAAGGCAGTTTCAATGCAGTTTTGATAATATATGGTGATATAATTATATTGTGGTCCCAATTTCTTTTTTTAGACTAAAAGTTTTTAAGATTTAAAA